TTCTTCCGTTGCATCATTTTATCGGTCGCAGAGGTAGCGGTTGTATCGCTGACCGTTGTGGTTTCGCTAGTGGTGTTTGATGAACCACTAGGCGGCTGAGTCGCCCCCGGAGGCCTCTTTTGTGGCCCCCTAGGTTATCTGTTCATCCTTGCGATGCTTCGATGATTCTCCGTTGTTACTACGCATAATCACCATTTTTCTTCAAAATAATATTTTTTCGTTCTTGCGGTTTGCTTCTTTCTTCCGGCAATACCAAGACCGATATTGTCTTTTTCTTCTGATAATCGTGCTTCTCGAAGGACCATTAATGTTACGGATCGCCGTAACGCCGTTCGAAAAATGAATGAAACGCGTTGGTCTTGCTTAAATAGGAGGCAAGCGGCGGTGAGGAGGTACTTTTTCTTGCTGTTGCCTTTTCGGTGGCTGGAGAGCGACTGCCAACCATACCAGCCGGCCCGTCTTTTATATGAATTGGCCGCTGCTGGCCAGCGGACCCTTGCCTCACCCCCGCGCCTTTCTTTATTTGGTTATAACTCTTACAAACTAACAAACAGAATTAAATGTGTAATATTCTTATAACTACTTATTATACTATTACGTACACAACAATTTTTTTACATATTAAAAAGGTTTAAACTCTATATTTAACAACTTTAGGCTGAGGACCCTGCCCCCTGCCTCAGCACTATAAATATAAAACGTCGTGGCGCGATGCGCGTAGCCTCATTTGCTCCGCGGCCGCGTCAGGATAACATGCTCTGTTGATAATGATTTCTTAAATTTACGCGAACACTACACATTGAATAAAACTAAATTTACGGATTTTATCGCGTTTATTTCACTACTTTTACTTATTTTTAATTCCCGACGTTTCGGGTGCTTTACAGCACCCATGGTCACGGGGGGGACTGAGATGTTTGACGTCCCAATGTCATAGTTAGTCCGGCTACCTTCAGTTTTTGAATATTAATTTTTGGTCCGATTTACGCAAAACGAGCTTATAGTATCATGAAGTCTTGCAGTGGTATGCTAAGGTTTGGGTTTAATTTTGTTAATTATAGGATCCCAAGCAGGTGGCAGCACCCATCCATCTTCTCTATTGAAATTCGGATGTTTTTTAATTTCAATAGCCTCGCGTATCATCCTTGGTAGGAATCGGTGTTCTTTTGCGAGAATTTGTGGTTTATCAAAACGAATGTAATGGTGGGGACGATCTTGAACATGTTCGCAGACTGCAGACTTCCCGGAGCGTCGGTGCTTCACGTCAGCTATATGTTCTTTCACGCGGGTTTTTATGGATCTTTTTGTTTGACCTATGTAAGAGAGACCACATTCACAATCTAACTTGTACACTCCTGCATCTTGTAGAGGGATATTACACTTGACGGATGGTAAAAATTGACTAATCTTCTTCGACGGCTTGTAGTATGTTTTAATAGAAGCTCGCTTCAAGATGTAGCCAACCTTGTCTGTGACTCCTCTGACATATGGTAGTACAGCAGGTACACGCTCGACTGTGGCCGGCTTCACTCGGTCACTGTGACGTAGGCGCGGGACCCGAAGCTTGTTGTCTTGCACATTGCGGAGCCTTGACATTGCGGAGCCGTTACAGAAAGGCACAAGAGGGGCTCCTAAGATCGTCCATGCGGATCGCTTGGCGCGTTATTATGGGTCCGATAATGCTCGGGACGAGCATGTCTTAAGGGAGCAGTGTTACGCGCCTAAGTCAACGTCATGTACCCGGCACTAGCGCCATCTAGTGCCAGGGACGAGAGCGAGGGGAGCTTTCCAGAAAATGAAATCACTAATCTTTCAACCGACAGCGCTATCTAGTCTCGGAACGAAGAACTAAGCTTTTAGAAGCTGACGCTCGAACTCTCGGCCCCTTGCGCGTGCTTTCTTGAATATTCTGGATGTTTCGGTGCTAATTTGTATTTATAGGCGCTGCAAGATGCAATCGGGGAAGTATTGAATTCTTCGAGACAAGCGAAGCTTCGAAGCGGAATAAAGTGAATTAGTGTGCTTAATTATTAGTGTTTAAGTCTTAATTTGTGTAAAGAAAATTAAAGTGTTAATTTAAGTAAATTTTATCGGCAATTTTTATTGTCACGAACCTCAAGCTCGTAACAATATTTTAATAAGGCAAATAGTGAAGAAAAATTAATAAAAAGAAATCTCAAACATTGTCCTTTTTATCTTTAAAATTCAAAATGCGTGGTAATACATCATGATTTTACTACACACGCACACATTTGTAAGGGTCGATCGATAAGCAAATTGTTGCCCATAAATTACATTCAATTTGGGATAATTTTAAATAAAAGTAGAAGCCTTATTTACTTTTTAGTATATCATTATTTATATTATATATGTTGAAAATTTAGGTACTCTTTGAAAAATAATCATTTAAGCTGTGATTTATTTATTATTTATGTGTTATTTACTCAGGACTCAGTCTCACGGCTAGACATGTGTCAATCATGCATGATTCGTTCGTTTGAGCTGGTACACTTAAAACTATTGATGGTTTATTCATTTGTTTTTGAATGTACCATTACAACCAATCACAAACAATTGACCTGTGTTTTAACCTGTGATTTCTTTGAATTTTGAATGAACCGCAAACCGACAGAATCCCGAATGATCTTAATAAATAGGCGAATTGACAATGCAGACTGCAGAGTATCGGGAGTATTTATTAAGGGTTTTTTATTATAATAATGTTACCTAAATTAAAAGTTATTTTACATTTTGTTATATTTATTTGTTACATCTACGAGTTAAAAATATCATTTCGTAAACCTTACTAAAAATAACACTTCAAAAGATTTCATGATAAATGATTTATTTTTCAACCAACTTATAGAAGTATAAGATAGGTAAAAGTTTGATTTTATAACAAATAAATGTTACAATCCTTATTTTTAGATATGTAAAGTAAGATGAAATTGTGTATTGTTAGGAAAGAAATTTAAGAATAATATATAATAATAAAAATTATAACTTGATGTTTTTGTATTTATGCCATCTAGAGTCAATTATACTTAACACCTTGAAAGTTAATAAGTTTTAGTTCGATAAAATGACTTTATTACCTATATTATGTAACAGATGGCGCTATAACAAATCTCAAATAGAAAATTTCCGGTTCCCAATTGAGGAGGTAACAATCAAAACGTAATTTGTCACAAAAAAAAGAAAAAAAAGTTGATAATACCATTTACCTCTACTCTATGGGCTCCATATTTTTTAAAAGAACAGTTTGCATCAAAACATGTTTTCTCTAAATATTTTTAATGAGTAAAATAGGCAGTAAAAACAAAACGCGTTCTGTCCTTCAGCAGGCTAATATCATAAAATGTTTTGTCCGAAAAACCAACCACAAATAAGTGGACGCCATTTTGACACTTGACTTTACACAGTTTGAATGAATCTGAATGAACCACTTGTTGTCATTCATTACCTATGTGAGATTATTTTACTGTGTCGTATTTTTCGATTTTTGAATAAAATAAAATAATATTGTGACGCTAATTTTTTATGCAATATAAAATGGACGATATCGTAGACGAAACGGATACTATAGAAGTACAAGCGGGGAATAGTGGTAGCCGTAAAAAACGTATCACTGGTGGAAAAAGAATTGCTGCCAAAAAGATGAAGTATTCAAAACTTTATAATTCTAATGTTATTCACCCTTGTGCACACGACACGAAAATCTTTCGTTGCTCAAAAGTTACACCAAAGCACGTTATGCATATGCGAACAAAGTTGTGTTCGGTTCCGGAAAAATTGCTCAAGATGGGATCATTTCATCTTTAATTCAGACTCACCAAGTGAAGCGAAGGAGATCTAGAGTAAAACCTAACAAGAAGGTTGTGTCAGAACATCTATTCAATGTGAAATACTTCTTAATACTTGATTCTCAGAGGGTTCCAGTTTGCAAAAAGTTTTTTCTTGAAGTAACTAAGATGGGGCGTACCAGGCTTCAAAACAAAGCAAAAAAGTAGTTTCAGGGTGAAAGAATTAAAGAAAATAGAGGAGGTGACCGAAAAAGTCATTTAAGCCGGGAGAAGAAAGACAATGTAAGAAAATTCATTGGAAAACTTCGAGGAAGTGAAAGTCATTATGGAAGAAATAAGTCTAAACGAATCTATTTGATGGCAGGCTTGAGTATTAAAAATTACATAAAATGTACAATGCGAATACCACTGATGAACTGAAAGTGAAACTTTCAATGTTTAGACGAGTCTTTGTTAGTGAATTTAATATTGGTTTTTAATCACCAGCTACCGATGTGTGCAGTTATTGCACAATTCTAAATCACAAAATAAAAACATATCCATCAGGGTCAAAATAGAGGAATGATGTCATTATAGAAAAAAGAATTCATAAGAAGAGAGCGAATGCATTTTATCAGCTAATGAGGCAGGATGTAGAAGATTCGATAGGCTACTGTTTTGATTTACAACAAATCCAACCGTTGCCAAAAGCACCGGTACAGGAGGCATACTATTTGAGACAAATTGGATTTTACAACTTTTGTATAGTCGATTTAAAAGGACTGAAACCACAGTTTTACTGCTGGTCTGAAGAACAAGCCGGTAAAGGAAGTACGGAAATATCATCTACTTCGTAACATTTCCTTCTGAATACTGATTTCCAATCACACACCATTTTAAGACTGTTTAGTGATGGATGTATCTCTCAAAATAAAAATAATATTGTAATACGTACTATTATGTACTATTTGCAAACTACAAGAACATCTCTTAAGGAAATTCTTATGTATTTTCCAACTCGAGGCCTTTTTGCCTGCCGATAGAATTTTTGGCAGGGCTGAAAAACAGTTGCGAAACAAGCCCACTATTATCGCAAAAGAAGAATATATAGAAATTTTTAAAGAACTGGGACAGTTGTATTCATTAGGACAAGACTGGGAACTCAAAGATACCAAGGACTTAAAGAAGTTCTACAAAGATCTAAAAAACATAAGCAATATGAAAAGGATTTTATTCAAAGTCAGCGAGGTTAATGGTAAACGGTCAGTCAGAGTTCGAGCGATGGAAAACTTTATTTATGAAGGAAATGAAACATACGAAAATTTAAACAAGAAATCATTCACCATTAACATGTTAAACAGAATGCAACCAAAAACACTACCTTTAAGCAGATCTTTATCTAATGAAAAAAAGATGGATGTTGACAAATTACTACAGTCTGTGTTTGGAAACTGGCAAGAGATTGAGGACATCCGTTTCAACTGGTATAAAGAAGTTCTTTTCAATACTCCAACCACTATTCAGGAAACAATTGATGATGATGAAAATGAGTGTGATTGTCTGGATAATGAGATTTGTATGAGAATTTAAGTATTACTGATTGTATTGGTAAAATAAGTCAATAAAAGTTTTACTAATTAATATTGCTAAAATAAATATGTTTTCTAAAATACTGTTTTTTTTAATCAAAACAGATCCACAACATACACTAATCTAAGACTCAAAAGATTGTATAACTCGTACGAATTAACTTGAGACCTGGGCCGATGACGTAATTGTCAATGTACGGTGTGCAAAATAATGCGTCGTAATATTTTTTTATTTGAAATTTTTGAGATTTGCATGAGATTATTAATAAAAACAAAATAAAATGTTCTGACAAGGGGTGAAGTAATAAGTGATATACTGTTGCCATTTTTATATATTTTAAATATTTATTTTTATAATATATATAATATTATTTTTAGTTAACGCGTCAAGGAAGGACAAAGAAATAAACATACACACTTTCTCATTTATAATATTATTAATTTATTTATTCTACACTTTATTGCACTATAAAAAGTGTTACTTGAAACTTTTTATTTGATTTTTCATCTTCGAAAAATTTTAAAACTTATAGAGAAAGTGTCCGTGCTTGGCTATGTATTGTCTTTCCTCCCATCTTTTTTTAAAAATAAAAAAGGCGGAGTAACTCCTAAGCGTCACAAGAAAACGGCACAACACAACGTCCAAACTTAACAATAAAACAACGCAATTAACAACAAACAGATAAAATAACGTTCAAGTATAACAAAAACAAACAAAAGTCCAAACCAAACAACAAACAATTATCAAAAATATCGAACTAGAGTCCAGACGCGTATCCGTAATAAAAATGCTATTGGTACTGAGCGCGCACGGCCAGCGCGGGACGCGGTGCGGGGAGTCGGGAAGGGGGTCGCATTCCAGCGGAGTCTCAAGTTAATTCGTACGTGTTGTAGTTAGAAATGGACAAAACACGTTTCGACTGCGAGATTGAAACATGTTTTCAAGTCAAACATGTTTTGTCCATGTGGTTCATGCATAACGTGTTTTGTCCATTTTTCAAAAATTAAAATAAAGATATAGAGACTTGACTTATCCATTAAAATATAATAATATTATTCAGTAGTAATAATTTGTTTTTTTGACTTTTATGTGAATCTTAAACTTACACTCAATTCGCTAAAATCAAAAATGTTTATTTTTCTTTGTTCCATATCTAAGTGACATATCACATTTTGATTGTTACCTCCTCAATTATAGATCTCACAGACTCACAGAGTACTGGAGCCTGAAATTATCCATTTGAATTATCGATCCGAATGTACCAGTACGCGTGACGAAATGTACTAGAATGATTCGGTCGCTAGAATTGAATGATTGACACATGTCTACTCACGGCACAAAATACCATGAGCTACAAAAATTGTACATTTGTACACATGTACATTTTTTTATAATAAATAATAGGGAAGGTGTGTATTTATGCGACCAGGTTTTTATATCAGGTATTTACTTGCAAGTACGCCGATCAAGTGCCGACCCAAAATACTTGCAAGACTTCAAAGTATTCGAATATACTTTGCATATATTCGCTCTGTCGACACTCTACGCAATTTTGCTCCTTATTTATATTTCGTTACGGATCAATGTTCTATCAAGGTATATTTACTTTAAAGGATTGGAAGTATTATTTTGTAAACGCGATTGTGCTCTTTATTTGTATATAGCTACAGTTCAATATTCTATGCAAGTATTTTTTTACAACAAGTCTTGAAAGTTGGAACTTTTAAAGGTTTGGAAGTATTTTTTTGTAGACGCGGTTGTGCTCTTTACTTGTATATGGTTACACATCAATATTATATGCAACTATTTTTCTTACAACAAGTCTTGAAAGTTGGAACTTTTAAAGGTTTGGAAGTATCTATTTTGTAAACGCGAATGTATTCTTTATTTGTATATAGTAACAGATCAATATTCTTTTTGTTGCATCAAGGCTTGAATGTTTACTATTTTAGCATATTTATGCGATTGCACTACTTATTTATATATTCGTACGGATTAATTTTCGATGCAGAAATAAAATAAAATAAACCTGAAAGTATCTCAATTTTGGCCCTGGTTTTTGACGCTGGCATTTGAAAGTGGATGTACTTGGTACTTGCAAGCCTTGGTACTCGATTTTTAAGTACGAGCCACCTCTAACACATAGACATGTGTCAATCATGCATGATTGGTTCGTTTGAGCTGGTACACTTAAAAATATTGATGGTTCATTCATTTGTTTTTGAATGTACCAGTACAACCAATCACAAACAATTGACGGTACCTTTTTAACCCGTGATTTGTTTGAATTGAGAATGAGCCGCAAACCGACCGAATCCCGAAAGATCTGAATGAATTGTTTTTAATGAAAGGTATACCAGTGCAGTATAATCAGTGCATGCATACGGAAATGTTGCCAAGTTAGGCGATTTTTAGCTATTTAGGCTAGTTTTAAAGTAATCGGAGCGACCAAAATTGTGATTTTCTACTAGTCTCCGAGTAGGCTATCTCAGAAAGAAGGCGATTGTAAAGGATATTATTTATTCTATAACCCTTTTATTAGAAAATAATAAAATGTAGATATTGCAACTGACTTCTTAAGTATTTTTAATACCTTTGTAGTCTACTTCTACGCTTACAATCCTTATTACTTCTGATGAATAATATAACACTAAAGGTACCTAACATAAGTTTAAATTAAAGCATTTTCTTAAAATATTTCTTATAAAATTGGGTGACTTTTTAAGACTTTCAACTTTTACTCTGCGTCAACTTTTTGGCGACTTGGATTCGGCTAGAATAGGTAACACTACACTATTCGTACAGAGCAAGGAAACGGAACATAGGTACTATTATTAAATACTAACTAATTTCTGGTTTGGCGAGAAGCGAGAGGTATAAAGATGAAATGAACAATGAAATACGATACGTCAAACAAATTAAATCGTTATCAAAGTTAGATCTCTGGAATCTGGATTCTGGATTCCCCGGTCTGGTCTCTGTGACGATCTGACGATGAAGTGTACTCGTAGATGGAGGATAGGATTAATTTAACGTTCTTTTATAATTGTGCAAGATTGAAGTAGCTCAGTTCAGAGAAGCTGCAAAGTGCAAACGTGGAAAGATGTGTCATAAGGAAGCACTTTATTTTTACACCCGCACTGGTATCTAATAAAAAATATTGTAGAGTATTTATTATACTTATAAGGGTTTTTTATTATTATATAAGTAAAATAAAAAAAATATTTTACATTTAATTATTTATTACATTTGATTGTTGCATCTATGAGTTAAAAATATCATTTCGTGGCAAAGGCGTATAAAAAAGGACTTTAAAAACACCTAAGTTTCGTGGGGTTTACTAAAAATAACACTTCAAAAGATTTCAAGGCAAATTATTTATTTAATATGATGATTTTCTTATAAGATAAAAGTTTATCTAATAAGAAAATCATCATATTAAGTACTTTGTAGCAAATAAACATTACAATCCTTATTTTTAGACATGTGAAGCCTAAATTTTATAATATTATATTCTTTTTACTAAAATTGCTTTCAATGCTTTGCTTTGTAATAAATAGCGCCATCTTATTCGATCTATAGTTAACTATGGCGCTATTTACTTTAAAGTCTTAAGAGTAGTGACTTTAAAGTCATTTCTCATTTTATCGAAATCAAAACAAAATGGATGAGACTCAAGGTGGTACGCTCAATAGATGCTAAATGGCCTAAATGCAAAGTAAATTTATAAGAATCGATAAAATTAAGTATAGTTATGAATGAAATTTAAAAATAAAGAAATTTATTAAATTAATAAAATATATAATAATAATCTTGAATAAAGTTATCAATTAAATCAAATCAATTGAAGTTTTTGTGTTTATGCCATCTAGCATCTTTTGGACTTACCACCTTGAAAATCCATAAATTTTTGTTCGATAAAATGCTTTATTACCTATAACATGCAGTAGATGGCGATGATAGCATTACAAAGTCATAAATATTTTTTCCCATTTGTTCCCAATGGATCTTACAGACACAGAGTACTGGAGCCAGAAAGGATCCATTTGAATGATCGATTCGAATGTACCGGTACGCGTGACGAAATGTACTAGAATGATTCGGTCGCTAGAAATGAGTGATCTACACATGTCTACTAACACACAATATAAAAATCATCATATTAAGTACTTTGTAGCAAATAAACATTACAATCCTTACACACAATATAAGAAAGAAGCGAGTCTCAGATAAGAAAGTACCAAGAGTTATGTCATAAAGAGCTACGAGACATTGATTTTCCTCCCAAATTCGCTAGTTGCAGTCACGGGTCATGCGATAACGCCTGTCATAAAAGTTTGGTCGACAATTTCTATGAACAAATTGTAAGTACACTAAAAATGGCGGCTATTAAAACAAATTACGTAAAAATTGATAAGCCTTGTAGAAAAAAGATCCTGTATGGGTGGAATAAAAATGTGAGAGATGCTCATCGGGAGGCCAGGCTTAAATTTCAAATGTGGGTTTTATATAATAGACCCGCTGTAGGCGAAATATATGAGCAGATGCGCGAGTCACGCAAGGTTTTTAAAAGTAGACTCAAATGGTGCATAAATAACCAAGAGCAAATCAAAATGGATAAAATAGCGAAACTGCGAGCGGATAAAAATTTTGGGAAATTTTGGAAGTCCACTAGTAAACTGGAGATAAAGCCTGGCCTGCCGGCCAGAGTAGATGGGATTAGTGATCCGGAGGGAATTGCAAACCTGTTTATGGAACATTTCAGGGTACGATCGCCGCTGGGCCCCTCCACGGGGATGCCTGGTCCTGAGCCTGGCGTGCGGGTGGATGAGCCTATGCTATTGTTTACGGCTAGTCAAGTCAGAGATGTAATCAAGCGGATGAGCAGGGGCAAATCTCCCGGACATGACGGGCTCAGTATTGAGCACCTAAAACATGCGGGTGTACACCTGCCAAGGGTCCTGTCTCTATTGTTCAATATGTGCATTGGACATTCATAT